CACTCAGCCCTTGGCAATTTTTTCCCATTTGCATTATATGTATTATTTGTTATTGATTTTACGATGTTATATATTCTTTGGGCTTGTTTTTTTTTATTGTTATTGGAGGTTGGTCTTTAAACTTAAGTCAATTTAACTGCCCGCGTTGTTAATTTTTACCCATAAACGCGCTTAATTGGCCAAATTATGTGTGCAAGCAAAGTAAAGGGGAAAAAGTACCCAGCAAAAAGTGAGCCACAAAGCAGTAAAGCGAGTTGGAAAAACTCAACGGAAAAACAACATTTTTTTTCCAGTTAAAAATATACTAAAACTATGAGCACTCTATGGTTAAGTATGGTTAAGTTAATGGGGCAGTTAGTTAGCCAATAAATGGAGAAAGTATTGGAAAATTAATTGAAAATGTAATTTAAAGATTATTTTATACGTCTCATAGCTAGTATTAAGAACACATATATTAATTATAAGTATACTTTAATTTGTTAAGTAGGTATGACTGAGTACTAATATTGTTTATGATTATAATCAGCTTATTGACATATTCATCATATTGGTAATTCATCACCTTTTCAAAGGACTCTTCTTGGTCAAAGTATGCAAACGAAAAACAGCGCTAAAATGGGAAGGGCATACCAAACTGCTGGCAATTGAAGTTGGTTTTTGGTTGGAAAACGGTGGTTCTATGTTGGCTTGGTAGCGTTGACGTTTAATTTAAAACGAAATACATCATGCTGGCCAATTATTTGAGCAATTTGCCAAATTAGTGGTCCAAGTCACTTTTGGCTAGCCCCCCGAAAGGCGGCAATTACCAAGCCTTCTTTTCTCTCTCTCTCTCTCTCTCTCTCTTTTCCATGCAAATTATTTTAGCCCACTTTCCTGCAGTTGCTGTTGCTAATTACCGTACCAAAAAGACAATTGCATATAGTGAGAGCGAAAGTCTGAGTCTCGAAATGCACAAATGTCGACTGCTGTTGGCAAGGTTAACAGCTTGACTTTTGTCAACGCCGTCTCAAGTAGTATATATGCCTTTTCAACAATATCACACGCATACAGAAGTACTTTACGAATGCCATGGACCAAGTTAAAACGCATTTTGGCCAAAACAATAGAGCCAGCAAACGAAGGGTGAAATCTGAATGGGATTTAGACACAAGGCGAACGAATACAAAAATACGCAACAACATGAAATAACAGAAACAGCCAAAGCGGGCCACACAATGAAATTTTAATTAAGTCTGAGCTGGGACTCGCTTTGTGCTGATGCAGCCGAATGAAATGCCACTGATTATGTTTGTATGCCCGTTAGCTACCTCAGAGGGGATAGGGTAAGCGAGGCTATTAAATCATTTTATTTCCTATTATATATTATAAGAGAACGAAAAGGTCCTCGCAAGTACTGAAAATTCAATTGACTATGTGCTTAGTTCATCTGAGAAGTATAAAAATGAATCAGTATCGAATATAACCCTTACAATAATCTAAACATTAATCTATTTTAACCTAAGAGGTAACTATATGTCTACCCTAGCCCAGTATAATGCTTGAATGGCTCTTAAACTGTTGAAATGCTGGCACAACACATATTTGTTTGCGATTTTTCTGTACGTACAATATGCATTTACTTTTCTACTTTTACTTTAGCAACCCCCACCCCGCCAACACTCAGACCCTTTCAACTTTCTCCTTTCCCCTTCCCTTCCCCCCTCATTTTGCCATGCATTCGTTTGTTGCTTTGTTCTACGTCTGAATGGCTACACAAATACAAAACGTCTGCACATTGTGTCTTGTTTAGTATGAAACATAAATGCATTTGTGTAATTACACAACATACATAACTGTATCTAGAGAGAGCCTTGTTTTAGGATGTCTGCGCTGGTCTTAACCCACTCGGGGGGAAGCCTAGAGTAAGAGAAAGAGATGCAGGAGGAGATGTAAAAGGGAGATAGAACGAGCGCGATGCAGGCTTCTTACTAATTGAAGTAAATGTGCTAAAGGCTTGCCAAAGTTATTCGCAATGGGAGTGTTCTTGGGCTAATGATTGTTAATGGATTCATTAGGAAACCCTATTTTTATGTTCAACTAAGTGGGGTGATTTAATATTAAAGAGATTTTTGGAAAGCTGCTGACTTGTAAAGGGAATAAGTCCAATTGCGAGTTGGAAAGTAAGTAAAGGGTTAAAAAAACAAATCCTTAAAGTTATGTATATGTATATGTGAGGTGGTGTTATGCACATCAGTTGGCAGCCCTACTAATATCGAATAGTGCCGTTTATCGAACAGATCGTTGAGAATGTCCAGCACTAAGAACCAGAGGCCGTCAAAATAAAGTTGAAAAGTTAGCTGTTAAATCATAACTTAAACATAAATACGTTTTGTAACAGTTATTAAATAAAACATAGATAATATCAAATTATCTTACATATATGCTTAAAGTTCTAGTTTAAGAACTTAATTTTATTCTACATGTACTGATTAACTTTAATTTCAATGGACATTTAAAGCCTTCTTTGATCCCAATAACACAATCAACTCGGTAACAACTAATTGCCACAATTGCCTTCGTAATCGAATAGTTAATTATGCCCAGCGTGCAACAGGCCGAGTCAAGCTCTGTGGCCTTCGCTCTCATTTAGTTTTCATTACGAATTTTGGCGTAGCACGTGATGGGCATGGATAAATGAAGACAAATAACTCTTTCGTTCACATCGAAAACTGGCCAAAACTTGCGATTTGTATGCATAGACTGACCACAGAAATGTAATACAATGGAAAAATGAGTTGCTTACCTCTGGATCGCTGCTTCCTGCTTCCTACTTCCTGCTTGCTGCTTCATGCTCTCTATTTAATTAAGCACTTAATTATTTAATGCGCTGATTGTGCAATATTTCAAAGGACCCTACCCAGTACTTAGCTTTGCTTAGCTCAGCTTAGCCAGTGTCCTTCGAGTGTGTGCTATAGGGTGGACCTTAAATTTAAAGTAAAGGCTAAAAGTTTTTAAGTTTATGGTTATAAGTTTAAGTTAAGTTTTTAAGTTAAATTTACAAAAACATTTATTTTCCTGTAATATTTTTTTTTTCATATATAAGGTCCACTCTAATAAGTAAAATGTAATATAAAATATGTTAAGTTTATAAGTTAAAGTTACAGAAAAATTTAAGTTCTTGTAATATTTGTATTTCCCATATATAAGGTCCACTCTAAAAATTAACTGTGTAATGTCTAAAGGGATGTGAGTGTGTTGAGGTGTCATAATTATCGCATTGGGTAGCCGAAATTTAATCAGACCACCGCACCATAGGTCAGGTCAAGGTGTGGCCATGGCTTTCCATTTGATTGCGTTTCCCCAGATTGAAATTATATGAAGCGGTTAATGAGTTACACTCAAAGAAAATTGCTTAAATTTATACTTAATAAGTACTAAAATATCTTTAAAATATAATAAATTTAATATAAAATGTTACTGTTCATTGCTTTTAAGCTGTTTAATTAAAAACGTCTTTTCTATTTATGAACTAACCCTTTTCCCCTGCCTAAACTTTTCTTTGACAACATATGGAACTAAGACCTTTTGTAAAATTTTAATAACAGTCTTACCATTGCCGTTGCATTTCATTTTCTTACATTTCATTTCCATATGCTGACCCTGTCAACCGCCTGTCTCTCTAATTAAACTTTATGGAGAAGCCAACATTTGTTCCTCGCCAACGCCTTATTAAGCACTTTCATTATTCTGCACTTGACCGGCTCGGTCTCTTTTAATAATGCTCATTTACTCTGTTTTCGAAAGGGAAAAACGAGTGGAAATGGAAGAAGGGAAATGTAGTCTGGCATTTGAGTGCAGATAATTAAACAACGAATGTGGATTACAACTATTTAGAGGATTGCAATGAATGAAATGAAAAATTGAATGCTTATTGTTTTTAGTCACATTGCTTATTTACAATAATCTGGAACCTGTCCATGCATTCATTATTCAATCAGCAGTTTTCAATTAATGGCTAAGACAACATGCCCCCCACATAAACCCGCATACTGCTCATCGAATCCCAATTCCATTAAAACACGAATCAATTTAATAGAGTTCTCACACCCCATTCTCTAGAGATAAAGCAAATATTGGTTCTCCTCGCGTTGCATGTGTATCGAAAAACAAGAAAACAAAAAAAAAAGCAAAAAAGGCAAGAGGAAAAAACAAAAACAGGGGAAACAAATTCAATCGAAAATGTTTGCTGCACTCAAATTAAAAACACAAACAGACCAAATATACCAGGCTAGTGTAAGAGTGAATGTAAACAAAATGGCAAATAAATTTGATTTGCATTCAGCAAACGAGTGCAAAAGCGAAACAAATACACTGAAAGTCGAGGGGCCTGAGAAATTTATGCGTTTCATGCATTTAAAATTGTAAAACAAGCGAAAGAGCACACACACACAATCTCTTGCTCCTTTTGGCCCTGGCACATATTCTCAGCCTTGTTGTTGTGCCACAGAAAATTTGCGCTATTAATATTTGCATTCAACTGGCAACAGCCCAGACCCAAGTACCCCGTTCCCATCTGCAATCCCTTGGTGGAACTCTTCTCCTTTTACCACTCAGCCCTCCTTGAAACTATCAACACATCTGCCAGCGGCATTGTCAGTTGACAATGGTCCATTGGGGAAGCGGTGTGGGGTAGAGGATTCAGGATTCAGAGGGGGATCAGTACCAGCAATGGTGCGTATTATGGCTGCAGTTATGCCATGGTCCTTGTGCACCCGTACATGGGGTTTCTCTATATTTAAAAAGGCTCAAACGGCACTTAACTTCTGCTCAAAGCACGTCCTACTCGTACTCTGGTACTGTGGGAAAGTTGTTTAGAAACTACTTTGAATTCTGTAATAATTAACTTTATAAATATTTTTATATATAAGTTTTTCATTAGAAAAACAGTTACTATGGTCAAGTCTAGTACTTTCACTACTTCAATCAATAAGTTATATATTTCATTTCTAAACTAACACTTTGATGTATCTATCAAATGAAATTCATGAGTGTTACTTTTCTTGGAGCAAATTTAAGCCCAGTAGACGGAGTGTTCCAGGCATGGCCTTCGTCGTACCAATCCAGTATACCCCGTAGACTTCGGATGCCGGACCAACTGGAACCGAACTACTTAGATGAGCCGGAGAAATTTTCCGTATGGCGTCTTATCTTCAAACTTATCAAGATTGGAATTTTGTTACTGGTCTGGGGTTTCTTTACTTACATTCTAGTACGGATTGCAAACTCACCGGATCGTACAACGGTGATCACATTATTGCCCAATCAAGTTGAATTTTTTACGGTGAAATTACCAATCGATGCGATTGAGATAACGTTTAAGGGTCCCATTAGTTCGGAAAAGACCCAGGGCGAGAATACACCCACTGTGGGTGTACGAGTTGAGTATCGGGATTACAACGTGAATAAAACATACCGGAGCAGTGACATGTGGGCCATCTATCTGCTAAAGGACGAATCACGTTACGAAGAAGTCACCAAGATCATTAAAATCTTGCCTCCCTTTTATTACAATGACTCCAAGGCAATTAGGGAAGGTACCAAGGCGGTTATCAAGTTAACGGGTAGTAATGACCAACCGGTTTCCCTACTAATGATGGTTTCCGAATACCCCATGGTAACAGAACATGGTGTTTTCTACTCGGCCCTTCTGCTTATTGGCCTGTACATTCTGATCGTCTTTGAGCTTACGGATCGTACATTCGCCGCTCTCCTGATGGCCACTACTGGCATAGCAATCATCACAGCGATTGGAAATCGACCGTCCTTACAAACCATAATTTCTTGGATTGATTTTGAGACATTGATGCTGTTACTCGGAATGATGATTATTGTGGCCATAACATCCGAGACAGGAATATTCGACTGGATGGCTGTTCTGGCTTATCGCATTTCAAAGGGTCATCCTTGGCCACTAGTGATATTACTTTGCACGATTACCGCCGTCATGTCATGTGTCCTGGATAATGTTACCATGTTGCTTCTGATGGCACCCATTGCGATCCGTTTGTGCGAAGTTATGGCAGTGCAGACGTCACTCGTCTTGATACTGGTGGTGTTGTATTCAAATCTTGGTGGTACCCTCACTCCGGTGGGAGATCCACCAAATGTTATTCTAGCGACCAATCCACATGTTATTGGCCAAGGCGTCAACTTTCTTAATTTCACAATACATATGCTGCCGGGAGTTGTGTTCGGAGTGATCATCGGATATGGTATAATCTATTTAACCATGAGGAAGTCTTTGTTTAAGCTGGACGAGCAGCAACTCAGGCTGGCTGCCGAGAGGGAGGCAAATAGACCTCGCATGAGCGCTGAGATTTCAGCTCGAGTCCTGCTTATGCGGGAAACACAGCCTAGCCGGCCATGGCTGAAACCGTCTCCGAATTATTTCGAAACCCTGGGCTATTTGGAGGCACATCATCGCATCCAGGACAAGACGTTGCTGATCAAATGCATATTTACTCTAGTATTTGTTGTCCTTTGTTTCCTAATGCACTCCCTGCCCTTTATGTCTGGCGCAACTTTGGGTTGGGTATCCGTTCTGGCCGCCTTCCTTCTCCTCATTCTGGCCAAGATGGAAGATATCGAAGCGATTCTCGACCAGGTTGAATGGTCAGCCCTGCTCTTTCTGGCCGCCTTATTAGTGCTTACCGAAACGGTGGATCAATTGGGATTTATTCGTTGGTTAAGTGAAAATGCAGTCAAATTGATAACGAGCGTCGACGATGAACATCAGATAACTGTGTCCGTTCTGTTAGTTCTCTGGATGAGCGCCATCTTAGCGGCCTTCGTTGGCAATGTGCCGGTGACCACGATGATCCTACGACTGAACGTTCAGCTGTATCAAAACGACGAGATCAAAGTCCCCCTAACGCCGCTAGTTTGGGCCTTGTCCTACGGTGCCTGTTTTGGTGGTAACGGAACCCTGATCGGAGCATCGGCCAATGTAGTCGGAGCGGCGATTGCCCATCAATATGGCTATAAGATCTCCTTTGTACAGTTCTTCAGATACGGCTTCCCAATGATGCTGGCCACCATTTCCATCGCTATGGTTTACCTCCTAATCGCACACTCTGCATTCAGTTGGCATGATACATAGTTTCTACGATTGCAACTCCTTCAAAAGGCGGTTCTCGAAGTTGTGCTGGGCTGAAGTAATAGATTCTGAAATGAGATCAATTCTTTGGATCACCTTAAAAAATACTGCAAACATTTTGGAAAGTATATGGTAAAAATGTCAATATAAAGATTTTTATGTGTTTTTTTTTTAAAGCGATTGATAGTTATTATTTAATAATTTACAAGTATATTTTCATTTATAAACTTTTAATATAATTTTCTTGCTTTTTGGCCCACTGTAACATTTTATATAGCATACTTTGGTGCGCAACGACCCCAACAACTCCAGCTGCAATGACAATGCGTAGCTTGGCTAAATTCTTCCGCTTAATCGCGCAATAATAGCTCAAGGGTGTTAAATATGCATAAACAGCAGCAACAAAGGCAACAACTGCGATTACAACAGACTAGATCTGTGTGTTTACTACAGCAACAACTTAACCACATCTGCTGCGCAGCGTCCTTGTGGCTAAAAATAAATCCGACTGTAAATAGTATCAAGGATCAGTGCAAGCGAGATATTAAATGTTGCAAAATAATTGCAGTCACTTAAAAAGCTAATTAAGTTAAGTGAAATAAAACTCACCTAGAGTAGCTTTTAGGCTAAGCTAAAACTGCGCCAAATGTAACGAATTAAAGCCACTCGAATGTTTAATATACACGTGTACACGTTGAATGGAAATTGCCTTGTGCCAATCAAAGAAATTCTTGGTAAAAACGCAAGGGAAAAACAAGGGCAAACCCAAACCAACAACACATGCAATCCGCCAATAAATCAACTAATTAAATATTCCAATTCGGAGGGAAAGTATTTGATTTTTGCAAATTTAAACAACAACGACCCTTTGCATTTTGACTCTGATTTGATGTCGCGACTTGAATCAACATCAGTTAATAACAACAACAGCAACAGATATATATATATGTATATATATATATATGAAAACACGCGACAGCTGGAAAAATGAGTGAAATAATATCAAATGAAATGAAATAAAATGAAACGAAACGAAACGGAATGTCTGATTGCGTTGGCGTTTTTGGCTTTTAGAGGTTTGCTTCTCCCCCCAAATGGCAAACATGAAAGCGGCTTTGCATGTGAGCAGAACGCCAAACAAAAAACGAAAACAGAAAAACAAAAAAAAAATAAACCAAAGCAACAATATGTGGCAGCCACACAGTAACAGCAACAACAAAAGCAACAGCAACACAGCAACAACAAAAGCAAAAGCAAATGGCAACGTAACACTAATTACCTTAATTGTTCAGGGCGTGTAGAAGCACTTGATGAAGGCGATGAGGACAAAACTTTAACTTGGCCTCTAGCCTCTAATGTTACTTGGCCGGAACTCTGTGCCCGGGTTAGTGGTGATTGCGTGTTTGAAAAACATTTTTAAAAATTTAAACAATTTTTACTTTAAATGTCTACTTTTTAGTTTATGTACTTAAAAATATGAATTATTATTTTGATTTATAAGATTAAGGTGAAAATATTGCATGCTTATTTAAGTATGTTTCACTTTTTTAGGTTTAGAATTTAAAATTTAAACTAAGAAGTTTTAGGTTATTAAATTTAGAATTAAAACCGATATACTAACCCGATCACTTTGCCAACTCCATTGAGGGGGAGCAGAGCTTGTTGCCGGGTTACGCGAAATCGTCACGTTTTCATCGCGTGCGGGGCAACGTGTGTTAGGTAATATAACGTATACGCCAAGGCGGCCAAATGTGTAGAAATGAAACATTAAATTACATTGGATTCTCGCTGCTTCTCTTGGCCTCCTTACCCTTTTACTTGCAGCTGGCAGGTTGCCCATTGTCTCTCGCCTCTGACCCTTTTTTTTTTTTTTTTTGTTGGTTGAAAATAAGAGTGGGAAAGATGGGGGTTTCAGGTGTGGTTTGCACGTAGATCGCGCACGTAGATGAAATTTTAAGCAGTCCGCAGGACAGAGGGAAGGTTAGTCAGACAGACCGCTGGCGGTTTTGTACTGAAGTGCGCTTTAATAGTTGGCTGTCTGCAGATGCCGCCGCAGCCGGAAAAGCGAAAAAGCAAAACGGCAGCGGGCAATGGGCAATGGGCTGCGGCATATGAATGTGGCGTGTTGGCAAGCCAAGAGAGCTGTGCTGTTTAATAAAATGGCAAGTAAAACAGAACTTCAGGCAATGCTGCAACACGAACTGAAAGTGTAATTATGCAGATGTTTGAGGATCAGCCGCCGCACACAGCAATGATTTATGTATGTCTGCTGGCAGTAGTGGCAACGGGCAAACACAAACGTCGACCCTAATTACATCTGCAGCGACAGGGACACTGAAGAATGCATAGAATTAACCTAACTAAAACACACACAGAGACACACATGAAAAGCCTTAGAAAATCGGCTTTCACCTGGTCTATGGACAATCATGAATTAAATCAGAAATCCCAGACTTGAGGACACAAAAGTAATTAACTCGACCTCGATGGTATATATGCCCGAGGCCATCATCAATTTCCCAACTTGTCACTCTCCGCCGGGAGTTGGTGTTAATTCTCGTCTAATGTGTAATTCACCTGTCCACCCACAAGACCACGCCAGCAGTTAAAAATCCTTTAGGCCGACATAAAAATGCCATTAAATCTGGCAGTGATTATCCTTGTTTTGTGGATGTCCGGAATGTTTGTTTGCCTGGTGATGGGCATAAGGGATTAGTGAAAGGTTAGTTTGGTAGGAAAATACGTTTGGTAGATAAATGGAAACTAATCAATATGACTTACTTAAGTGAATTATAACAACAAGAGTTGTAAGAATGTGGTAGGAGACTTAAATATTTGCATTTTTTGGTTAGAACTTTTCTTGGATTCCCAAACTTCTCTAAAACTAAGCTCAGCACTTTCCCTTTCTGGCCTAACCTTTGATTGATAAGATACACTATGAAACCACTTCAGCTTACTAATAACATCTTTTGCTGTAGCTTGATGTAATCTCTTCTTCAATTATGATAAATATTTATCTTGAAATTCAGCCTTTACCACAAAAACCCATCACGATGCCATCTATAGTACTGAAACGAAATATCCTTTGGTCACGCACACTAATGTCCCCGGACATAGTTTTCCGGACTAATACACAGACGTTTCTTTGGGTAGGGGGTATGGGTCATGAACATATATCTCGGACGAGATGTCCTTGGTGTTATTGTTATTTTGATAGTCCCATTGCATTTTTTACATAGCTCTTCTGAGGCTGCCTTACATTGTTTACTGATGGTCATAATGATTACTTATTTCGAGGATTACTCTGCTGGGCTAGTTTTATTGGCCTTGTTAATATTTGCCTTGTTGGCATTCTTGGTTTATTTGCTCAGGATTTGCAAGAATACTCGTATCGTACGCCCACTCCACATCCTCGAAACACGCTCATTTAGTTTTATTGCGCATTTTGGTCTTTCTGGCATTCGGGAAATTTTAGCTGGTTGCTTTAGCATTTTAAAGATTTCTTCGCCTTTGCTTCGAGCTACCGAAAATATTTTAGCTATTTGTTTCCATTTATTTACTTGAGGTTTTGCCTAGCAAAAACGGTAATTAAAATTTTCAGTTTTATGGTGAGATTTCTGAGTGTTTCTCAAGAAAATATTTTATGAGAAAGCCAGCACAGCACATTACCATTAAAATGCTGCATTAAAACGGAAATGAGTTTTGCTCGGTAATAATAAAATAATTTGATAAATGTATAAACACAATGGGATTGAGGTAAAATGAATGAATTTCAAAAGGTACCAAGAAAGCAGAAATTTACAATTTTCATCATATTTCTGAAGAACCACGAAATTATTTTGCACTTTTGATTAATGGAATGGAGGAGGAAATCAAAATGAATGCCAAATAGGCAAGCCAGAGAAGGCCACAAGAAAGTTCCTTGACTGCTAAGAGAGAGGAAATTCATAAATCATAGAGATGTTCATTAATTCGCCGCCGCTTGACAATTGGTCAATGCTCGCGATTTAAAATGCATTAAGTAAAACAAAAACCAAAAAAAAACACAATAAAAACACCACTCAACTGCCTGTCCTGGCCGTTGAAATGATTAATGACAAATTATTTTATGAGGCCAAGGCAAAATCACGAGGCCCAGGCCATTTAAGTACGATCGCATTAAGTGTATTTAAATTATTATTACACAGCCAAAGCGAAATTAAACGGTATATAAAGAAGGACCATTTGATGTGCTACTCAAATAAGAAAAGCAAATAAATCATGAATATTAAGTTGGCCAAGTCCAAGAACAAAAGTCAATTGGCCAAAGTTTATTGGGTGAGAGTGGAAGGACGGAGGCGGAAAGGAGGACTTTGGAATTACTGGGCCACTTGAGAGCTCAACGGCTTAGAAAATAACCATCTTGCCACTGCCCTAGAAAACCTTACATTGCCTTTCATTTGATTAGACGTCTGCTGTCGTCGTTCAGTGTGTCCTCAAACTCAAGCTACCCCGAGGGACAAAAATGTTTATGCAATTCGATTCAATTTTTCGATCCAAGTCAAAGCAATTGAATGATGCCCAGTCAAACTCTCTCACACACACACATACACACTCTCTCTCTGCAAGGATAAGTCGATTAGTGTGTGTGTGTGTGTGTGTGCCTGTGTATGGGCTGAAAAACCTACTCTAAGGACATTTTTGGTTTTCGTTTATTAAATTCTGACCTAACTGATAAATCCTCCCCCAATGGACCAAACGGAATTTACAGTATTTTTCATATTTCCCCAACACACTTATTCAATTCCGATTTTTCCACTTTTATGTGTGAAATGGCTTAGGCATGCCGATTCACAATTTTCCAATAGCAGAAGGATCACAATTCCTTAGGGAGTTTACTGATTGAAGTGAATTTGACAGGAGACTTTTAGTTGGTTGTCTAATTGATGGATTTTATTTTAGGAATTTTAAGTTAAATTTGCAGTTAATGAAGTGAATGAAATTATAAATTCTAATCTTTTACAATACAAAGTAATAAATACATTAAATATAAAAGTAATTCGGAATTTATTTCACTAACGCGCAGCTTATGTGAGTCTCAAAGTAAAACCCTCTTGATTCCACCCGTTTGTCAAGTAAATGCAACGAAAATCTTTTGGTTAGCATAAAACACACAATCCCCAAGCCGCAAATGAAAGGCACAAAATCCGGGCAATACAAGGGCTCAGCCGAAAAGTGGGAAAAGTGTGGCAAAAAATAAGAGGAAGCAGAAGGAAAATCTGGATAGGTGGTGGGAGTGGCGTCTCAAGCTACGTAATTTCGTCCAAGTGGGTGAAACAAATGTTGAGATTGCAGGCCCGAAAATTCCGTAAAAGAAGCCCCAAACGTCAGACTTTCGCCCACCCCTTGGCCCACTGCCTCTTTTTCATATTTCCTGCTTCAGACGAAGTCGAGTGGGTCTTCAAGAGTGAAGAAGTAGAAGAAGAAGAAGAAGAAGAAAGAAAGAAAGCGGAAAGCAGCAGCAGCAGCAGGCAAGCAAATGACAAGCCATAAAAATTGAGTATACGCATTGGTTGCTTAAAGGATCAAAGGATGCCCACACACACACACACACAGTTGCGTTTGATGGCATTCGATTGGCATTTTCAATGTATGTAAGTGGTTGCGTGTGGGGTGAAAAGTTATTGCATCATAATTTCCCCCACTAAGCATTTATATTGCACATAATTACATGCCCAACGATGCCGTCTATAAAAAGGCTATAGGATATTCCCACGCACACGCAAACAATGCAAATTGAGGGCAACATAAATGTAAAAGACTATCTTCTAGCTTCGTTCTGTATCGTAAATAGAAGGGAAACTCTGGAATAACATTGCTCTGCTATTAGGATGGAGTCTGCTTAACTTATGGATTCATAAAAAGAAGGAAAGATTGATCTTTTTTGACTCAGGAAAGCAAACTAAAGATAGGTAAAGAATAAAGACTTAAAATCCGAAACAAACTATCCAACTAACTAATCACATAAACCGATTTTATCCAAGCTTATCAGAAATATTCTCAGCCTTATTGGGTTGCCATAGCAAACAAAATCGGATTTTTTAATGACCGATGGTTTCCCGCAGTAGGGCATTCAAATGGCAGTGCAGACGGAATTCGACGGCAGTGGAGGTGTGGCGATAAAAATGCGTGTTAATGTTTATGCCGCCGGCAAGCCAGGACAATTGTCCTGCGGGGCGCCAAGCCGAGCTTATGGCCGAAACCATTATGGACAACTGCAATGGCGACAATAACGCGTCGTTGATACTTTGCACCTGAGACCCATAGCGCACCCTACTTCCCACCATCACCCCTTTAGTGCCTTTGCTTCTTTACAGGTGGTTGGCGCAGCGCCCAGAAGTATGCTATTAAACAGGGTGAAAAAATCCAACCGCCACACAAGACCACCACCAAAAATGCTGCCAAAAAAAAAAGAGAAAAGAAAAAATAAAGGCAATCGCTACATGTGCGTGCGGTGAAGGGGTATAACAATTCGCTGACACAGCGGCCTGCAAATGTAACACAAATTTTGCGGTTTTGCGGGCATCCCATTTAAGCAGCCAGCCTGCAACGGCAATAATAGTATATAGCTTGTAAGCTTGTTAGGTGTGAAATATGCTTTTGGCAGCGCCTATTTTTGCCATTTTGTTTTGCTACATATTAAATAAATAGCATTTTACCGGGAAATGGCAAATCGATTGTGGTAAAAGGATATCTCAGCATGAAACATATTTATCAGCTTTGTATTTAAGGTAAAAATTTAAAAGAATTTCCATTTTTGAAAGGATTTTATGAAAATATTTAAAGAAAATATTGGTTTAAATTGCAGTGACATTGCGAAATAGTCATATTTATTTTGTATTAATCCAATTCCAACTTTTGTCATCCCTTCGATTGCTCTCCATCCGCTTCTCAATGAATATTTCTTGTCATTTTAAGTTTAAATACAAAGGAATAAAATTAAATAAATATGTTACCTTTAAAACAACATGTAAAGTCCCTTGTTTAACCAAAAAAGTACAAAGAAATCATCATCAAGTGGTCGCACAGCAATCGGTAATTGTTCAGTTCTGGGCCCAAAGGCATTTTCACAATTAAATTGAGCATAAATCCAAACAAATGCTAGACTCTGATTTGCCAGCCTCCGGCAGAGTTTAATTAATCGCGCGAAAAACGTTGGAATTTTAATCGTTTAATTGAAAAACTTTAACCGTTAAGCGAGTGGAGGAGAAAATAACAGAATGGAAATTGGATTGCCATGCCCTACAAAAATATAGTTTTATATGAATAAAAAGACTAGGGGATACCCTGTACGAGTTATTAGACAGATAAAAAATAAATTTATTTTTTTTAATATTAAGTTAAATACTTAAATTAAAAAATAATTATCTCTAAATATAACTTTTACTTGTAAGGAAATTTCTTTTCAATTTCATTAACGAAACATTTTTTTTTGGTTTGATGAAAAAATAATTTTTTTTTATTTTTGGATTTAACCGCAATCATTCCGCATTGCTGATCCTCAACGAAAATCCACTGAATCCAGGCTTTGGAATTGAATTTTTGCATTCTCCAAAAATTGGTTATAAAAACTGGGAAAACTTTGACGGGAAATCATCAAACGGATTTTTGAGCGACAGTTTTTATCGCCTGGTTTTTGGTTGCTTTGTGGCGAATACGAAAAAAGCTTCGTCTATGAGAAATTGCGACAGCTGATAGTTGACAGGCATCGCTCATACGCACCGTATGCCAGTGGCTGTGCCTGTGCCTGTGCCTCTGCCGAACGTCAAAGTGAATGGTTTTTCCGGCTGCGTTTCGCTGGGCCGGGCAACATTAATTGACACGTGATAATTTAATTAACGTGGCAACCCACGAACCAGCCTGGCAACTAGAAAGAAAGATCCAACAGCGTCTATATCGAAGATTCGGAGGAAGGATGGAAGGACCTCGTCGACTAATTGGGTCAGCTTCGGGCATGGAAAGGGGAGAACTTGGGGCCAGCGTGTGTTCATCCATTGTTTTCCCATCGGCCCCAGGGCCATCGTCCCCAGTGCCCGGAATGGAGTGGAGTGTCTCTTAATTACGGTGTGCGCGTGTTGGCATAGAGGGATTTTCTTGTTAGCCTTCTAACACTACCCAAAGACCCCCACTACCCCACTAAAACCCTGAGTACCACCGCACCACCGCGCTCATTAACCACTTTGCATTGTTCGCCACAAAGTATGCAACAATAATTGACAACGCGCAAAGCGGAAACAAAACGCAAACTAAACGAAAATGGGGGGAGCTTTGAACTGGAGTCCTGGTTATTTGCCTCATTATTCAATGGAAAAATGCTGTTTATGATATTAATTATGATAAGGGAATTTGTCTTCTTTGGTTTCTTTTGTATCGTAATGGCTAGCTGATAACTTTGGTGGCTTGTTAATAATAACATGTTCTTAGGGAAAAAAGTTGTAATAGTAAAAGAGGTTTACCTACTTACCATACAAACTACGAACATAATTAAGTTATTTTTGTTAATATTCAAAATTATATTATGTTAAAATATACAAAAATAAGTTCTAATACAATATTAATAATCCAATTTAATACTAAACATTTTTCTTGATTCTTCCACCAATATAACACACAAATATATCTTTGGCAAACATCAAAGCACCCAATTCCAATTTATTTGCAATTCCAACAGCCGAAATAAGATGAGCAAATGCGATATATTTGGTACACTCAATTTACTTAGCAAGGGTATTAAAATTAAACCTGATTTGCCCTTTGAACGGCTCAATTTTGTGATGTTGCAGTTGGCTGCCTTGGCCGGGATTTAATTACAAGGGCCAAAGCTGCTCCTGCAGCGCCAATGGCAATATAAATGGCAATGGAAATGGTGATGACGAAAGCGAAGCGCTTGGCCCGCATCTAAGCGCATTAAGTATGCGCCGCGTGCGCCAATTAGGTTGAGTCAGCTGCCTGGACTTACGGCCAGTATTGTGTGCACACTTTCTTCGCCTTTCTTTCATTTTTTTTTTTTTTTTGTGTTTCTGTCGTTTCCCATCCAATGCGCTTACAAACCAATTAACCTTTTGCAGTGTAATCGCTTCGGGTTTCATTATTAGCCCGGCCAAAAGGTGCGGATTTGCGAAGCACTTATTTGTCTCATTTTGCAGTGCTGACAGACCTAGTCGGGCCCTCGCCTTTAGCCTCTCATTAGCAAATCGATCGAATACTGACAAATCTTTGAGCTTGGTCGTCGATTAACTTGTGGTCAAATCAAATGCGAATCAATATCTTAGCAACCCATCCAGCTCCATTCTCAATCTCCTCAAAACGTGGTGAGCAGCCAAGCTTCATTCAATTTGGCTAAGCAATGGGCAGTGGAAGGTGCATCCCATTATCAATATTTTGATTTAACATCATGAATCTTAAGGTAGAATTTAATTATTTGCTTTGACATTGTTCTAAAATTTATTTTAAACAAGTTAACTAAGACCTCAAAGACCTGAACTTATTTCAAGTGTCAAAGTCAGTAAGGTGTGGATATTATATAGAGAGATTTATCTAATGAATGCTAAGATAACTCTATTATCTTATTTGTCAACATAGAAATATTTTTTTCGCACAGTGTGAAGAAGAGTGCACTGGTTAAAGGTAAATGGTAACCCCGCTAAACATGAACTCACCTAAGCCATGTAAAATAATTATACAGGGTGATTCATATTTTTACGTATTCATACATAGCATAGTTTTACTCCTCACTTAGCCAGTACACCTTCCAGACTTTTGTCTTCATTGCAGATCTATTTTCTTATAAAACGCATTTATAGAATTCAAACAAGAATTAGTAAATTTTGAATAAAAGTAATATCTTAAGCTTATAAAAAAATTGTGTCAAAATATATATTAATAACATTTTTTAAGTGTACCCGGTGAAATTTATCGATCTCGATTCGACTACCAATCTTTTTCGATCGATATTCTAGAAATCCGGCCACCCTAAATACAAAATAAAATCAGCTGAAAGTACAGAAAGAATGGGGAACATAAACAATATCATTCAATAAATATTTTAGGTCCATGTTAAATCTGGATGACCAGAAACATGGGAAGGAAATCTAGAAATACACCCTCAAGAAAGCCACTGATCCAGAAGATCATTAAAAATGAACCAGATACTGGAGAATCAAGTGAAATAGACATAAAGAACATGGCCTATAAGGTTGCAGAAACCCCAGTGTTCATAAAAACAGAAGATCCATCTGAAGAAGCCTACCCGGAGACTGAGTTTTATGAGGGTAAGTTAGAAACCAGGATTAAACATTTAATTTGCTAAATAACATTTTATATCACAGTGGCTATGCTAAATGTTGACAATCTTATTAAAGAGGAGTGTGACGAGGACGAACACAATCCAGAGGAGGAAGAGGAGATAAGCTACCGTTTGCCAGGTCCACCCAAACTGTGCTCAAAATGCTGGGAGGCATTCCCGATTGAAAAGTTTTCCAACCATGTCTGCAATAACCAAACACAAGAGGAGGATGAAATAAGCTATCATTTAGCAGGCCCACCAAAAGTCTGTTCAAAATGTTTAGAAGGCTTTCCCATCGATGAGTTTCCTACCCACGAATGCAAAGACATCAATGCGGATCGATTCTCATGCAGAATTTGCCCACGAAAGTTCCGTTACAAGTCTCTGTTAATCATACACCTTAAGTGAGTTAAAAAAACTTTGTTGTGCCATTAATTTTATTCTAGTCTCATACTTATCGAAACGATTTTTTATTTAATTCAACAGAAGCCACCTTAGACTGCAAAAGGGCGAGACCATACCGGAATTGGAACCTCCGAAACCAGAAAAGAAGGCGCCTACGGCCAAAACTAACTTCGTGTTTAACTACTCACCTACTCCAAGGTGGAAGTTATCCCGACGGAGAGCAGGGATGATGCACAGGGAAATGCGTATTCAACAACAACGAATGTGCAACTATTGTCCTATAGCCTTCTCAAATGAATCTCATCTGGAAAAGCACCTAAAGGATCACCATTCTGAGATCATTAATTCGAACGAAGTCATCACTCCAGACGCTGTGTCCGATGGCTCAGAACTAATCTGTGTTAAGTTGGAGAAAGAGGAGCCGACATAAAACATGATTAACTAAAAACTTCAGCACTGTTAAAAAATATTCATCGAAGGTATCCTTCATATCCATATTTATAACTGTAGTTTTAGGTTTACCCTCCCCTAAAAACGCTATATGATTTTTGGCACTTTATTAAAAACCACCTTAAAGTTAAATAAGTTTCAAAAACCTAAAATCTAATAAACAATATTGTATACATAATATACGATCGCACGCTCTATACGATACAAATAACGAAGTTCCAAATACCCATTATTTTTGTATATAACATAACATCATCAGTTATTCTACAATTACTGAAAGCTAATTACATAGTTATATTGCAAGTTAAAATAAATGGCAATTGGTATATCTGTAAATGATGTTAGACGATAATTAAGTGTATCTGTACGTACTAGCCCCAACAAGCTCCAAGTCTGCCGGGTCCTTTTTAAGTAAATCATTGATTCTATCCTTAATGAATCCTATTTCTGGTGTAAATATATTCTTTAGCTCCTCAAGAACATACCCAACTAACTGCGAATGTTCCAGGACTTTATGCTTCTTCATTATGCGCACTACTGCTGCATTTGTAATATGTATCCGCCTTATTTTTAATTCATATTCATCTCTCACTTCGATCTTTCTAGTTTTAGTTACAACCTTGCTTACATTAAGTCGTCGCTTTTTATTTGTGAAGTTAGTGTTAATTTTCACATATGTGCCGCTAGAAATTAGTAAGCTGATCCTTATCCAAAAGTCCAGTACCTACATAACGTGTGCAATAATTAGTCTTAAAAGTAATAATTAAGCTAAGATTTTAACTCACCGGTTGCAAAGTCTCTATCTTTGTGCCCAACCTGTCCGCCAATTCATTGATCGTAAATGTTTTCTGTTCGTTGAACTGGAGCAATATCGCCATTTGTAAAGTGCTTACCTCAAGGATATGAGTCGATCGATCTAAATTGCAGACTATTTCGCCAGTCGATATATTGTAATTGAATTCAATCTTTCCGCTCTTTATAACCTGATTTGAAATAATGTAAATTCCTGAACAGCTCGATTAAGTTCCAAGGGCAAAATAAGTTTGCAATTTTCATCAAACCCGCGGTTTGTAAAATACTTGAGACGAAAATCAAATTCCAGCTTTACGCCTTTTCCATCCAAATAATTTTCAAACCGTTCCTTAAAGATTCTTGATCGATCTAATTCCGCCAACTGTTCTGTTAATGTAACTGTGAGATCATGTCCGAACTCCTTTTTCAAAAGGGAAACCATAGTAGACTCAAGTTCGTCCGAGGTGGATGTCTCTTGGATTTGTCTAGCCCTTAGGACTTGCAAATATTGTTGAACAAATTTGTCCTTTTCATTTAGAAACCTCACCACTTGAACGATTCGTTTAAGTTCATCAGTAATCATTTGATCAGTCTGGTGTTTCTTGATCATCAGTTCGTTGGAGTATAAGACCAGAACACTGATGGGATTCATCTTCTGATTCATTTTGTTTATTTCATCCTGGCACAACTGATCGATAACGGCCAACAGCCTTTTGTGATCCTGCATTTGCCTCTTTAATGAATTGTATTCCAAGATGGCCTGAATGTAGTCTTTACCACCCAATGATTTTGCAATAGTTTCCTGCAGGTGCGGAGCGATTAGTGTTTTTAGAATTGCTTCAAAATGAACTCCATATTCGTGTTCTGGCATTGCTAAATATGCATATTTTAAAAAGTGCTTTAGCCCGTCGTATTTATAGGAGGAGATGACCCTTTGGAATTCAGACAAAGTCTCCGACTTGTAGAAAGCCACCACTTTGTCAGTGAACACATTCTTGAGTTTAATATGCACCGGCACTTCTTGCCTCTCATCGTTGGCATATAGCTCTACAATTGATTTAAGTACCTTATAGACCAGGGATTTGATATTGGTGCAATCTTTGGATTTTAGATTAACCACCAGGGTTATGGCAGTGACCAAGGCCCTGTCAATAGGGCTGAACACCAGCTCTTTCCATTGAATCATTGCCATGCGGTAGACTTCATGAACATAGCTGTTGCCTTCAAAGTGCTCTCGCTTCACCCAGTTGTTGTTGAAGTATCGACATCCTCGGTCCAATATCTCGCAGGATTTCCGAAACGGCTCCCACTCTTCGACGTATTTAGTGATCAGGTATTCGTCATCCCCAATATTTTCCATATCCAACGCTATTGCTTTAAGCCGTGAATTTAAGAATAAAGTCAGACCTTCATAAAAGTATTTTCCGGGATCTTGGGATCGCACACTTGGATCATGAACAAAGCTAGAGCAGTGGTGATAGACAAGGTCGTGGAACTTCATCAGATTTTTGCAATCAAAGGGAATGTGCCTATCGAAGATCTGTTCCAGAAATTTGGACTCCTTCAGCCAAAAGTCTTCCAAAGAATTACGAAGATCACGGCGTTTTTCTTTGCGATTCATTGTTAATAATATATTTTTGATTTTACATTAATGACATGAAAAAAAATTTAAAAGGGGAACCACACAAATTTAATCACCAGATCACCTGCACCTTTAGTAATAAATATTCTCTAAACCCCAAATTTGTTCCCAATTTTTTTTTTTTTTTTGCTTAATTTCTATGTTTCTTTTTAATTTAAAAGAAACAGTTCACGCTGCACTTTTTTCGATTACTAATATGTTTATATCTAGACAAAGGTTTATTGCTATTATCAGTTTAGAGATGTTCTATTATCGACAGCTTAATATTATAAAATTGCACTATCGATAGCAATATATGCAAAAGCATACTGACAACCATAGACATTTTTTATAAAACCTTATTTCTTCTTAACAAGATAAGTTAATAACCTCCAACTTATCGGTAGTTCAACGTCTTTAAGCAAAGTTTTTCTTAATTCAGAACCCTTAAATCGAAAGATTTCTGTGCATATCGATACTTCTTTGTATCTTTGTTGTCACTAACTAAAGCCAACATCAAATATAAAAGCGATTTAAAAATGAATATTATGATATGTTCCCTGAAGGTCCGCCTTTGAATACATTCGCATCCACATGTTCAGAATTATTTAAGAATAATTCCCATGAAAAATAACGTTTTAATTTTTAAATAAAAATATGTAGTTCTTGTATTTATTGAAATGCTCATTTATGGCAATAGAAAAACTTAATAGGTTATACATAAAATAAAATATAATTGTTCAACGCATACAAAAGTATTCCCCCACCTGTTTCACATCTTTAAAAAGAACAAGTTTCTCTTCTTTTTAACCTTATCCAAAGCTGGTGTTGCTTCTGACTCGTCCACATCCTTATCCAGATCCGACTTCTTTCCCTTGCCCAATTTACTTTCTTCTTTAAGTTTCTTTCGTTCCTTTTTAGACAATTTTTTTGACGACTTGTCTGCGCTTTTCGTGTCTACTGGTTCTTCGCGCTCCGAATTGTAAATATGCAGTCGGTTCTTAATGCTCATATCCTCTCGTGCCTCACGAACTCGATCCGTCTCAAGGCTATCAATTACTTCGTTACGCATCTCAACTACCTTTACAAGGCGATTTATTAATACTTCCTCATGAGCTTTATCGGAGTCTGTTTTGTTGTGCTCCGGTTGACCCATTAATACTCGAATTTCATGTTCAATGTCAGCTTGCTCCTGTTCCAAGCGGTGCTGCCGCCGAAGATACATCAACTCCGCTTGACGGCGGAACAATTCGTTTTTTTCATTTACCAGTTCAAACAGTTGCAGAATAAGATCTTCTACTTCCTTTGAGTTAGTTATCTGAGAGTCGATTGATTCGGAATCAACAGATTCTGAATCTAAAGATCGTTCACAGCGATCGCGTATCATTTTCTCGAGAATAACACCTTGTTTTTCAAGACCTAGCTGTTGTACGGCAATAATTTCGAATTCGTGTCGAATTTCTTGAAGCGGAAGCCGTTGTAAAACTTTTCGCGGGGGTATAGGCACCGCTGGGGCTGGTCCTTTCCGTCTCTTCCATTTACCATGAGTAGATTTATTGTACCCTAATGGGCTTACGTTGCTATCGAAATCATTATAAACGATCGGAGACTTTTGATCTTCTTTGCCTCGATCAATTGTGTTGTCGGGCTGAGTTGGTGGAACCAAAATACGTCGATATACTATATTTACCTCTTCATCTGCATTTGAAGTGTTCAAACTATCTTCGTAATTACTCGACTCGGTTGTTTCATCAGAGAGCAAGCTCTGGTCAAGAGGTATTAATCTCCTAGTCGAATCACTCTGACTTGGAGTATTGCGATTATTATGCAACATGGCCTTTTGTTCATCAGATAATTTACTGAAACCCGGATCACTCTCAAAGTCGCCCTGTTTTGGGGGCAAGGGCGCTTGGCGCTTCTTTCGCATCGGAGAAGTAATAGAGCTAAGACTGGTAGTGGGACTTGAATCTTCACTTTTTAGTGGAGTCCCAACTGCGGCACGAAGTGGCTTGCGTGGGGCGTTATCTGATGGCAAAGAGATACTTGAAATACGGTCATCTGCACCACGGTCAAATGCTTTCAAGTCATCCAAATGATCCGAAGACGAAGACGAAATATTACTTGTATGGCCTCGGTGAGTCATTAATTGTACTGGAGTCTGCGGTTTAGATATAGATATTCTGGGTGTGGGCATCGGCAATTTTTTCCCTAGAGAAGGTGTAGGGCTGGAATGTTGTTTCTCTGATGGTTTAGATACGGCTAGGCCTATTTTAGGTGGAGGTGGACGGGGAGGGACAACTTTGACTCTTTTTAAAATCGAGCCTTTGCGTTCATGGGCTGGAATGCCTTTTAAAAGCTCCACTTCATCGTCGGAGCTGTCGAAAGGGTTGGCACCCTCGCATATATCATCATCCTTAAAAGGATTTAAGTCCTCTGGATATTCTGTTTCAGCTACTTTAGTCTCATTTATATTATCTTGGTGAGACTCGAGATCTTTTTGTTCTGGTATATCACCTTCCTGCTTAGAGCAGGTTTCTGGTTTTGAGAAAATTTCATTTTCTGTGCTACTGTTTTCAGGTTTAATGACTTCTTGAGTCTTTTCGTCCGAGATAGGAGCATTTTGTGGTTCTGGAATGAGTTCTGACGTATTATTGGAACTAATAACTTCTTTTTCATCTAGTTTGTCCGAAGATGTTGCTTCTCCAAGAAGACTATCATCTTCCTTGCCTAATAAGATAGTAGAATCCTTAGGATCCTCACGTAAATCAGGCTCAATAGGATCTTCTGCTTGGTCATCAGTTTGTTCAAGAAGACCACCATCCTCTTCGTCTAGAGGAACAGTAGATATATTAGAAACCTCTTGTAAAATAGGCTTTAAGTGATCAACTGTCCTTTCATCATTTTGTTCAATACTTATTGTCTTATCCGTTTCATTTAATTTGTTATCTATTTTGGACGGTGTTTCAAAGATCAAAACCTTTTCACGTGTACTTAAAGAGGCCAAGTCCCTTTGTTGATTACTAGGATATTCAGGAGCTTTCGATACAGGTTTTGCATCTACTTCCAAGTCTTTTTGTTGATTATTAGAATAATCAGGAGCTTCCGGTACAGGTTTTGGATCACTAGTAGTATCAATACTGGCTGTCTTCAGTTTTACAATGTCGCTTTCCGGTTCACTTTCTTCATCGGGGCACGTCTCGCAACAATATATATTATTGACCTCAGTTTCATAAAAACTCCCGGGTGTGAGCAATGAGGAACATCTTGCACATTTCAAACATGTTCGATGATAAGCCCGTTTTCCGACGAGGACTCTTTCGGCCAGAAAAACCGGAAGATCGCATTTCTGGCACTTATCTCTGCGGGGCATTCCCACAATATGCATCATCTTTTGTGGGGGCTCACTTTCCTCAGGAAATGTTTCATCTGGCTTCGGATGCTTGAGGCTCTTTCCAAGCACCTTATAAAACTGGGATAAATACGTTAGTATGGATAGTCTGTCAGGTACTTCATACGAAACCATATCAGCTGCATCAAGTAATGCGGGAATTCCCAAGTGCTTCTCAGCAGTAGTAAAGGCTAAGTCGTTATTATCATAAATATCGGTTGGCTTTAATCGATCGAAATCTATAAGATCCGGTCGAAAGTGATGTATAATTGCACAAAAAGCAAGTCCATTCCGCCACGAAGTCGTCATGTTCTCCACCTTAACTCCATTATATCCTTGTGTTACAATTTTGCACCAGTACTCCAAAGCTTTAGTACCAGTTCCAACCTTTGTGCCACGACGATCCATTATTTTAGTATGTTAATTGTTGTCTTATCAGTAAATTAAACTAAACGAAAACAACTTAAACCAATTTTTGACAAAGCGAACAACATGCCACTTAAGTTGGAAATGAAATCAATTTGGATTTATCTGGTAAATATTACATTAAATGTAAACAAGGCAAAACGGTGACTCAAAACTCTCAAGACAATCAGACTTGGTGGTGGGACTGCCAAAAATCTATCGATATATAGATATACAAATCGATTTATATGCGTATTTATATTATAGAGATCAACAGGACCTAAGTACCAAAGTACTTGTCCTAATAACAGCGGCAGAGTAAACTAAAACTATTGTTTTTTTTTATTGTAGTAATCATCAGTAGTTTATTGCCAACGACAAATTTTTCACCTCTAAGTGTTCTTTTTTGACCGAAACTTTCAAAGTTTTTTAAAAGCATCTTTGGTTTTATTTGATTTTACAATTTTAACATTTTATTGATTAATTATATGTATATATTTAATATATATATTTAAAATTTATTGGTTACTTGAGCAAACCAAAGCAAATTACGGGAAAACTGTAATCTTTGACAGACACTCTAATATTAAGCTTATTTATAACTTAATATCGTAAAAAGCATTGCAAAATAAAATTGAACATGTTCAAAAGTTATAGAGTTTATGCCTGTAATCAAAACTATTTTTGCCGTTGTTCATAAACCACATAAACATAATTAAATTTTATTTCTCTATTTTCCTTTTCTCAGTGTAGCGAAATAATTTTTGTCTGCTTAGATCGGGAGGCCTGGTCACACCTACGATAATCAGTCTTGCATCTATCGAAGTTACGCCGGCACGTGTAGTTCAGTAAAAAGTTCAATCTTTAACTTTTTCCGAGCGCTCCAGTTTGCATTTAAGAACAAAAATGGTGAGTTAAGAATGTAAGGCTTAGAAAGTCATTCAAACGAAGTTGGAGATCTCTCGGATGCACGGTTGTTCGAGAAGGTTCCACAACTTACTATCGGTGGTCCACCTCTCTCTCTTACCGGGCTGTTGTGTAATCAGTGACAGAAACGAAACATGAAACATGGAATAATTGTTGGGTCTTATTTAATGCTCTTTAGGCCGCAGCTATCAAGAAGATCATCCCCATGCTGGATCGCATCCTGATCCAGAGGGCCGAGGCTCTGACCAAGACGAAAGGCGGCATCGTTTTGCCGGAGAATGCTGTGGGCAAAGTTCTCGAGGGCACCGTTGTTGCCGTTGGCCCTGGCACTCGTAATACCGTGAGTATTTCAACATTATCTGTGTATTAAGAATCATCTCAACGTTTACCTTAACTCGCAGACAACTGGCAGTCACATTCCCATTGGCGTGAAGGAGGGCGATCGTGTCCTGCTGCCTGAATTTGGAGGCACCAAGGTCAACGTTCAGGGTGACCAGAAGGAGCTGTTCCTCTTCCGCGAATCCGACATCCTGGCCAAGCTTGAGTAGATCTCGTTGCCGGAAACTGTCTCACAATTCTATGAATTCTATGTTTTCTATTAGTACGTAACACACCCACAAACCCGTAACCAAAACTACAATAAACGCTGATGCAATATTTTTATTTGCATTGCACATGGACCGCCATTGAATAAATTTCGAGTTACTTGTTAAAATCTACATCAAGGTTACACTTGTCATTTTATCTTACGAGATGAGCTCGTTGAGAGGAACCTTACATTTTTAAGACTAGTTCAGACGGGTGCCCTAATAGTAAATAAAAACTACATTTTCTTTCAGAAATTCCAAAAAATTTTATATTCTTTGGTATCCAATATGAAATATATTATATAACATATTTGGAGATGCAACTTCGCACGATAAGTAAATGAAAAATGAGTGCGTAAAAATATTCTAAAGATTGAAAATAATACTCCTTGTTATTCGTTAAAATATATAAAAGTCTATATTTGAACTCCTACTTAAGGCTATATTAATCCAACTTCAAGTTGCTTAGGCCGTAAACCTGGTTAAAGGCCGACCTCCGCTTTATACCCGGCATTCCTTCGACAGCGGCCCGCTCTCGGGAGATCTTGACCAGAGTTTCAAAGGATCGCGGCTCCCAAATAGCCAGATCGGAAAGGGTTTTTCTGAAAAGTTAATATTATTTCATTTACAAACCAGTGTACTAACTGTTGCTACGTACTTGTTGAGCAAAATATCGGAACGTGCCAAGCCCTCCTTAAAGGTTTCCAGATCCACACCATATTGCTGACATCCCGCTTCTACGCGTGTGCTCCACAGTTGTGCCATGTCCAATTTTTTAAGTTTTCGTCCCTTCGTGGCATATGCCAATGCCCTATGGACACTCCTAATGGCGAAGGAGTAAACATTGCGGGTGCGACTTCTATAATGCTGTAGGAAATATGAAAGTACCGGTATATTATTGTTATTTTGTATGCAAAGTTGGAGAAACTACCGCGGCCAATTTAAAGATGCGTCTCTTCCGCCAGAATTCATCCGGACCGCGGGCTCGCACTAAAAGTGGCAGATTTAGGAAGACCATGGCTTGGTATCAACAGGAGTTTGGTCGCCTTCTTTGGTTTTTTAATTGAACAACAATTTTACTTTTTATTTTACATAACCTGCACGGTGCTCTTCAAGCTATCGATAAAATATCGAAAATATGTGTGGTAAATAAAAAGAAATAATTTCATATTATTAATATTTCATATTTAAAATTTTATTTATATTACTTTTCGTCTTAAACATTTTCAGTTTAATTATTGAAAATTAAACTCTTGTATATCGATAGTTCTACCGTCTACACAGCTATCGTTTGTAGCTAAAGTGGGAATTGACTAAAAAACTATAAACAATTTTGTAATACAAAGTGAAACGAATTTAGGAAATCAAATATTTTTTACAGAATTAAGAGTATAATATTAAGGTTTTGATAATTAAGGTAAATATTAAAAATATTCAAGGCAATTTTGGAGGCTAACCCATCTTTTATTTGCTTATTCTGTTATCGTTATATAGTTATCGAAAGCTTTGCCGGTTTATTTACATTCCGGTGCATTTAACGAGCAAATGTTTTGAAAATCATCAATTTCTGTGTTTTGGCGCACATTACCAGCACAAATAGAGTTCTGATCCTTCGATCATGTGTGCAAATGTTCCCCGAGTTCCTGTCCAAGGGACTGGAGGCTCCTTCCTTTGTTTAGACGGCCGCATTAGTTTATATTGCTTTTTAATCACCGCAGCTTTGATTCTGATCCCCTCGGTTCCCCAGATCTATTATGGAATGGTACCCCAGGTCTGGGGAGCGGTGCTCTGGGGTCCTGCTTTATACTACGCCCTGATCAACATGATAATACGGTTCGTACTGCGAAACCACGACTACCAGGTGAGTCACTTGTTAAAGTATATAAACCCTATCAGCAGCAATTACTATCTCAATCCCACAGGTGGCCATTCGGGCGTCCTTCCTGGGTTTTGCCATAGCCGTAAGCGTGCTGGTCATCTGCTTTGCCCCCACCGAATGGCAACAGTTTGGCGTCTATGGCTGCTTTATGTCCTTCTTCCACTACTCTGAGTTTCTCGTAATCGCTTGTGCAAATCCGCGCAGTTTAAGTCTTGATTCCTTTATGTTAAACCACTCGGTGCACTATGGTCTAGCTGCTGCAGCCAGCTGGATCGAATTCTCTTTGGAGGTTTACTTTCTGCCGGAGTTTAAGACTTTCGGAAACATATGGCTGGTGGGCGTGGTGTTGTGCTTATTAGGCGAAGTGGTTCGCAAGGCGGCTATAATCACAGCCGGACGGAGCTTCACACATTTGGTAAGATGGCTTATATATGAAGCTTGAAATAATGTTGTCTAAATGTTACTACTTAAAGAAAAGTAACTGACTAACGATATTTCAAAAAGAAAGAGCTTCTATTTTAGTATGTACATATTTTCTACATTTTACCTGCAGGTCCAGGATGAGAAACACTCGGATCACAAACTAATAACAAGCGGGATCTACTCCTACTGCCGGCACCCGTCATATGTCGGCTGGTTCTGGTGGTCTATCGGAACCCAGATCATTCTGTTAAACCCTATCTGCATCTGCATCTACACACTGGTCAGCTGGCTCTTCTTCCACGATCGCGTCTACGTCGAGGAATACTCCCTGCTGAACTTCTTCCAGTCGGACTACGTACGCTATCAAAAGCGTGTTCCAACAGGCCTGCCTTTCATCAAGGGCTATCTGCTCGAATAGTGTTACTGATCTTGGGTTCAATGTCACAAGTCGCCAAAGCAAACAAGTTCTTTTTTAGATTTAAGTAAACAACGTACACAATTGTCTTTGAGCAAATCTTAAAATCGCATTGTATTTTTGAAAATAGGTTTTTCTAATATCTTGCATGTTGTTTTGTATTCATAAACTAGTCAAAGCATGTTGCTGATAATCTAATCTATTGAGTCAATTGAATGTGAATTTATGGGGCTTATAAGTGAAACATTTTAACAGATGTTTGGTTTTACGTGGTTTTCGCTGACAATCCAGGTATCAGCCATTTCTATCTATATGATTTATCAGTATCAGTTAAAGTTTGTTGCTAATAATCTTATCTACTGACGATCCTTAGTTATCATATATTTGGGACATCAATATGACTTGTAATACCTCTGTGTTATTCTCCAATTTAGCTTTTTGTTTTATTTTTTATGTTTATATATGTTCTATAAATCTCATTGCTTAGATGATTTCACCTTTCGCAATACTTTAGCGCTCAAATTCAGTAGATTTATTACACCTATTAGCCAGCCTAATGATATTCTGAAAAGTGATATCAGAATTCTTGAATCATTTTGATAACAGTCTGATAAAAAACCAATACCCAATATTTATGAGGCAATATCCTCTTGATACACTCACACCGCTAATCTGAAAAACAAAACAAAGATTTGAAGTTGTGCAAACTGTTGACTTTTGTGTTTCGCTCGTGTGTGTCACTTTTGTTTTATTATCAATTTAAATTCGAATATTGCTCTATCTATAAGACACAAGCCTCACTCTCGCTATTTGTTCATGTCATTCCACATGTGTATGCTTTTGTATGTGTCTGTGTGTGTGGGTTATATGTACAAACAATTATCAGTGTTAACAAAATGTCTTAGTCACTCTCATTTACTTAATTAACAATTGCAAATCTTGCTGCGCTTTGCCGGCCTCCTTTCTCGGTCATCGATGTGTGTAAGGTTTATGTAGCTTCCGTATCCGGGTTTACTCGACAAACTCTGGTTCGCCGGAGTATGTACATCCAGGATTCTTGATAATGTGCCCGGCTGCATAGTTACCACACCGAATGCAGACATCTAGCGACTTGCCTTGCACAAACTGCGACAGAAAACCTCCAACGAATGCATCCCCAGCGCCATTGGTATCAACAATCTCATGTTCCGCCAATATCGTGACCGGGAACTCCTGTACCGAGTCCTGTTGGATAAGCAGGACAGGATCACAGCCCTGCGTGAGGATAGCAATGCGCGGCCGCGTCGTATTTAATTTGCCCATCGCCACCAGACGCTTGCCAATCTCACGAAGATCCCCACTTGGCCAATTCTGGGCCTCGGCGAAGGCTTGTGCCTCCGCCTCGTTGCCGAAAATTATGTCCACATAGGGCATCACGGCCAACAGCGGTTCCATGTAGAATTGCGATATGAATGGTGCGCTGAGGTTCATTAGGAACGGTCGCTGCTTGGCAAGGGCGGTGGCCGCCACCTGCATGATGCTCGGTGGGTTCACGGTGAGGAAGAAGCCCTAAGAAGATAAAACAGAGCAAAGGATGATTATTGGTACTTAAGTTTTAATAAATAATTTACATTTAATTAGAGATCTTTTAAAAACTTTCCAGCTTACAAATAAATAATATCGAGTAAATTAATGACCTGTTTGTTTGTTAAAATATTTTAAGTATAGTTGTGTCATTTGCAATGGTGAAGTAAAAATACTAACAAATGTCTTTAAATAAAGGACAAAAACATAAAAACAACAATTTAATAGTTTTGTCTGTTGACTATAACATTGTGACCAAAGCAGTTAGTTAAGTAATTAATAGCGCACGTCACAAGAACATTAAAAAGCAAGGAATTTAACAATTTTGCTGATATCAAACAATTGCAATCGCGAACTTACTTCCCGTCAGGTTACTTAGTTATTACTTCCGGCATCGATTCTACGGTTTATTTCATAACAGAAGCACTGCACTCACCGAAATGTAGTAGTATAGGGCGTTGTCCACCACAGCCTTGTTGCTGGGCTCTTCCAAGTGATCGATGGTAAAGTGGTTTGCAGCCGCCAGATTAGCGCAGAGTGATCGGTGAGTGCCGGTGATCAGGACGGCACAGGTACCCGTGGGCACATCCTTTTTCACCTGATAGTGGACATCCAGACCAGCGGATTGAGCCTTCTCCTTTAAGATTTCGGCATACCTATCCTCTCCAACACAACCAAAGAAGACTGCTACCCTAGGTTGCCGCAGGATCCACTGGGCGATCCTCAACGAATTCTGCACGGATCCACCAGCCAGGAATTCCGCCTGGTAACCTTCGACGAGCTCACCATAAATGGGCATGTGTCGTTCCTCAGCCAGAATCGCATCGTCTTCGTTCATGGAGTACTTCTGCAGGAACTCCAAAGGAACAACGGCGGAGATGTCCAGAAGTGGATTGCCACAACCCACTAGGATTCCTTCTCTGCAGTGAACAAAATTAGAGGAATTCTTATATTTATCTTGGGTATATAAACGTCGAAAATCCCCACCTAACGTTGCTATTGATACGATCGCACATGTTACTCGCCTGAGGGCCTGACGCTAATGCGCCCAATTAACGGTTCCATTCAACACCAAGTACGTAAAGAGCTTTCAGCGCAATCAGCATGCGATGAACCTCAGAGATAGCCCTACCCCCAGTAAAAAGAAAGACTAGATGTCGAAATATTAGGCATACGCCCGTGCACAAAGAACAATACTCTGGGAGAGCAATATTCAAATAAGTTATTAAATTTTTAATCCTATTCCATTCCATTCCAAATAGATAAGCGATTTAACAAAGATCATTCTACCAAATTTTGCTTTGGATTTATAGACTTAAAGGAAATAAATGTACCATGGTTCCTTATCAAACTATTCTAGATTATAATCAGCCAAGCTCAATTTTTGGGACGATAGTGTGTTCTTGTTTACGATTATATTTGTAGTTGCTAGCAAGAATTCGCCCTCCTTATCATTCGCATATTTCGGACTCGAGAGCTTGTGGCGCCGAAGAACACGGCCGGATATATATATTAATTCATTCATATGCCGCCCGAACCATCTTCACACCCCCCAACACGAGTTTTTTTTTTGTATTCGTAAGATACAAATTAACATTTGGAGACGTTGTAGATTCTAAATTCCAGATAACGAAAGCAAACACACGCACACAGACAAACGAAGCACACGATTTTCACATGTCGCTGTAAATTTCGGCAATTATATAGCAGTTGTGTGTACATTTGTGCGATACAAGAATCGGGAGCACATGGTGAGTTTTTTTTGTTAATAATAAACCCAACCTCAGATACAACTTACTCTAGCGTGTTCGTCATTCTGTTCGTTGTTGTTGTTGCTGCGCTGCCTCGGCTGCCTTCTTATGTAAACATAAACAAGTTATTGCACTTCAAATCTCCAGCTTGCGCCTTCAACTCAACTTGATTAAATTGCTATCCGGGTGAGAATCCAAAATATATATGCGTATATTTATAGGCAATTTAGAATAGCGGTTATAGTTGGAAGCGCGAGTTGCGGGCGTTTGGGAATTTGGGATTGTTTATCTCAGTGTTACCAGGTGCCATGGGTCAGTTATCTTTAACTAACGCGTAAGTTAGTAATATCTTGGACCCTGTAAGAAATTTGAAATTCGGGTGATAAAATTTACATTGTCAAAAAATGTTCATTAATTTCAAAAATGGGATCATAACCACATAAACGGTTGGCACTGGAATTCAGTAATTTAAATTTATGTGTAATATTATCTGAATATTTAAATCTTTAATGTTATTTTAAAATTATTTATGTAGATTTATCAAACACATAACTAACCATTTTCTTTGCTGAACATTCAAAACAGAATGTAGATCACCTTGGATAGCAAAAATAAAATAATTAAATAACAGTGCGAACAAGTCTTTTACCACACATCGATTATTTTTAAATGCGCCTCTGCGACTTTCGATAGTCAAAACTCACATCGCCATCGCTCAGCCAATTTTGGTCTCTTTCTTTCCGGTTGTCAAAAGGTACAGATGTGTTAAAATTAATTCGTCGAATCTCCCGGCATCCCAACTAATACAAACTTTTTTACTTTCATTTTCAGTGCAGTGCATCCTATACCGCTAAACAATGGCCGACGTTGATGTGTAAGTGGATGTTTCATAGACGAAAAACATAATTTATGCCTTGCTTGGCAAACCGCTTGTTGATGAAATTAATTGGTCCGTGTTTATGAATTTCCATTGATTATAAATTATCCAATTACTGAACAAGCAAGGCTAAATAGTTCTTTGTTATGCGATGTGGTCTGAGCGATGATTTAATACTAATATACTTGTTTTCTCGATGCAGTGATGTTCCCTCCGCTGCCCCTGTGCTCGATGGCGCCATGGACATTAACACCGCCCTGCAGGAGGTCCTGAAGAAGTCCCTGATCGCCGATGGACTCGTCCATGGCATCCACCAGGCCTGCAAGGCCCTGGACAAGTAAGTAGTCCAATAATCTAGTCTAGAAGGTGGCAGAGTTATTCACTTCTTGAGTTTTCTTAACTTGCCTTTAATCAAAATCTGAGACTTGAAACCCACGTTTTTAAAAATGCCGGTCTTCATTCTACTTAACCTTTCTGGTGACTCCCTTTAAATAGGGATTTTCTGCCATCTAAAATTTTTCTCGAGATACATAAAATTTAAATTTAATTCCCAAGAAGTGATCCCACCTTCGTTTTTGATCATCTGCCTGTCTGTGATGAAATTAATTGGTCCGTGTTTATGAATTTATATTGATTAAAAACCTTCCAATTACTGAGCAAATGTCAGCATTGCGGAATTATTAAACACAAATAGAACAAGTCGCCTAATCAAAACGTATTTTTTCATTTACAGGCGTCAGGCTGTTCTGTGCATCCTGGCCGAGTCCTTCGACGAGCCCAACTACAAGAAGCTGGTCACCGCTCTGTGCAACGAGCACCAGATCCCCCTGATCCGCGTGGACTCGCACAAGAAGCTGGGCGAATGGTCCGGTCTGTGCAAGATCGACAAGGAGGGCAAGCCCCGCAAGGTGTGCGGCTGCTCCGTGGTCGTGATCAAGGATTTCGGTGAGGAGACACCCGCTTTGGACGTGGTTAAGGACCATCTCAGACAGAACAGCTAAACTGCTGTAACCTGTCTGTTGAATGAGAGACTACGTGAAAGTTTTTTTTAAGCTATTCGCTAATTGAAAATAAACGTAATGCACCTGAATCCAGATGAAAATAAAAGAAAGTTGACCTTTTTACATTTTTGGAATGTTCTATTCTAATAATTTGATTTTTATAATTTAAACTGGGTAAAAATTAGTTCTTAAGACAGGTTTGCTTGTGCTGCGGCCAATCCTTGAGCTGGCAATCACTAAAAGATAAAGCAAGATATAATAAAAAAATTAAACTTTTGATTAAATCCAACTCACCGAGAGCAATAATGAACTTGCTTGCAACTGGCGCACTTCTTTTTGGCCTTTGCCTGGCAAGTGGCACAGCTGTGCTGAACTTCTGCATCGCCACCTGCTCCGGTATCCTTTGCTTCTTCCACTTTAAGGTCCTCCATATTCTGCTCCAGTTCGCAGAGTAAATCCGTACCGTAAGCTTTGCTCAGGCGAGAGGCCAAAGCGGAAATTTCATCCTTGTTTTTGTTAAGGAACACTGAGTCTTGCTCCTGGGCTATCTGATAAAAGCCCCCGTTTTCTTCTACATCCTTCAGTAGCTCCTCTTGGATCTGGGGAATGTCCTCAAGCAAAAGAGAATGGGACTTGGCTGTATTACCGCTGAGAGTCAGGCGGCTAAGGAACATCTTAAGTTCTATTAGCGGTGGCAATTGGTCAAGCAAAGTCTCATGCATTAGGCCCAAAAGCTAAAGGGAAAGCTAGATGGTAAGTAAGGTTTCTAGAATAAAAGTAATGTCGAAATTTACCTTGCTTAACTGCTTGCAGCGGGCTTCATTAAGCGTATAGTTTTCCATGATTTGGGCATTTAGAAGAAGCTGACGCACACAAAACCAGGCTTGAGCCTCTGGTTTGACAATCTTGACGACATCATCCACATTGGTCCACTTCTCTTCGATGAACTTCTGCATCCCCTTGCTAGTCTTCCTTTGCCATGGGCTAAGATTACAAATAATATTTAATATACTAACCACTAAGGATCTTCAATGCTTACCGGAAACAGAGCACATCCACCATGAGCCAAGGGATGTCATGAGTAACAAGTAAACGTCGGGCGGCGCTGAGGTGAAATAATCCCACATTATCGGCCAGATAATTTAATATAGAGATGCAGCGCAGCCCAATCTTATAGATAAAGTCACGTTTCTGGCGCTCTAGTTCTGTGAGCACCGCTTCATCCACATCCAGCTTAGACTCATTCTCATGATAACCCATGCTGACCAAGCCAATAACCTGGGAAATCGCTTGGGCGCAATAATCAATCAAATCCATCACCGATTCCTGCAGCGTCTCACAACCACTGGGATGATAGAGGCAGACATCAAGGAGAGATACCAAAGCAGCCTCATGATAAAGCACCGTGTAGATGAGAAATGTGGCCTGTGGATTTGGATCGATCTCCAAGAGATGCGGAAGAACACGGGTCTTCCAGAGGGTTATGCAATAGGCTTCGTGTATCAACAGGCGCAGCTTGTCTCGCGAAATGAGGAACTCCTTTACTTCCTCCTCACGATGCTGAGCCAGCTCCAAGGACGCCTGCTGGCTCAATTTGATGATCATCTCGTGCACCTCTAGCCATTTACTGCTGCCCACCTCGCGCACCTCAAATGGACGAATACTCTCCACAAAGAGATACATTTCCTCCGGATATACAAAGTTCACCATTTTTGTAATAAAAAGTTTTATTTTTTATTTCTCTAGCAAGTTTTTTAAACTTGTTTGTTTCAAGTTACTTTTGTTAATGACAATTTCAAAGTTAAAGTAAACATTTTGGGTTACCATGGCAGGCAACGGTTGCTAGGATTCTGTATTGTTATCCAAAGGTACATACAACCCTGAAAACATATTAAGGAAAGGTTGGAAAGGTTAGGGATTGGTAATGTTCTTTGTAACTAAGGGCCACCTTCAGTGGTTACGAATTATTGGTATTAATATATTTGATTTATTGAAAATGCAACAATTCCTATATTAACTGCTTATTACTAGTTAATTAATAAATAAATTAAAAAGATTTTAGACTATGCGTCTAGACCCATTAAGCTTGTAACTTGTTAGAAAAGAAATTATGTTTCTGGCAGCAGTCTGCTGGCTATTCGTTTTCATTTATTTTGGCAACTATTACGCCAGGCCAGCTAATTGTTGGCCCCCTGATAAAGACGTTTGGATCGTCGGCCGTGCACAATTGGAACTCGTTCAGTCACTTTCGCTGAAAAGTTGCGTTGACACTGCGCGCATGCGTGTCGTGTCATTCGAAAGAGAGATGGTTGGGGATGGGGATGACGACTCTCATGTTTCATTTCGTACGATCTTTCTTTCGCTTCATTGTGCCACTGCGTTTGTTTCAATTGTTATTATTAATTTTATTTTATTTATATACCATACACCAGTCGAGCACTTTTTCTGCACGACGCGACGACAATTGACTTTAAATGTCGCCTGGCCGAGGGGAAAAAGTTACAACCACTATGAAAGTTTTTGTGGCCTTTCGGCGTTTTCTTCATTTTTCGATAATAACCGAAGCGAATTGAAACTTATATAGCTTGATAACTTTCCCAAAAAGAAAACTGAAAAGCGTCTTTTAATTGCCAGACAAGGAAAGAGAAGCATTTACAGAATATGTGATTGCATAATGCTATTAATCGATAACCAATTAACGGTAGCCCTTCAGATAAGTAAGTTTGCAATGCTTTCAGATTCATCTAAAGGTGTTAGAAACCCTTTGCCGTCATTTATACATTTTTTCTCATAGGTATTATTATTGCATTTTTCTTGAATTATAAATATATTACAAATTGATTTCTTGGCGAAATATTAAAACTTCATTTTCACTTTTTGAAATAGGATTTAAAAATTAATTCCCAATGCATTTTTATACCTAGTGTGATTATCTCTCACATTGTCTTGGGAAAATTTGTCAAATTCAATTCGTCTGTCATTAAATTTACAAATTTTCTTGTTGATACAATGAAACGATGGCTCTCAGTGCTCCTAATATCCACTCCGATCCTTTCAATAGGATTGGTCCTGATCTAACTTTTCTTGCCTTTTTTGGGCTTTTAGTGATGATTTTTGGGCTGCTCTTCTGCATTGGATATTGCTGCTGTTTCAGCTGTCTTGACAAAGAGGGATATTAACGTTATTTTAAAAAAATAAATCAATATTTGTAAGACCAAGATCGATTAGGAAAATTACTTTGAATGTGTATGTGAAGACATTCTTAAATTTAATTTGTAAAAAGTCTATTGGGGCATCCATCTTTATCAAAATTCCTGTCACATAAAAATTATAAAAACATGACCGGTAGATTTTTCATGGTTTTGGTTGTGATAACTATAGTCCTCGTGTTGCTTGTCTGTGCCGCTTGCGTCCTTTGCTACTTATGCTCTTATTACTGCCGAAACATAATATTGGCACTTCATCTAAAGCCATTTCTTTCGGTGGCTCGTCCTCAAGAGCAGCCTCAACAAGTGGTGGAGCTGGAGTCCCTTACAACAGAGCCGGCAGTGTTAACAATACATATATGAGTGAATAAAGCCAAGTTGTGGCGTAAATGGGGTCCAAAACAAAATCTTATAAGTATAATAAATTGTAATTTTATTTTTTTTTACCAAAATAAATTTAAGTATATAACGACGGCCTCCTTGATTCTGTTACCAAAAGACGAAATGTAATAAATCTAACGTAATCAATATAGCTTAGAATGATTTTTCTATTGACAGTAATCCTATCAGTTCTGCTCGGATTTGTACTGATCGTGTGTCTGTGGTACTTCCTGATAGTCCTGGCTTGCTTTTGCATCGACTGTTTCATGCGTAGCATTCACATGTATCCAGATCGGCACCCACAATGTCAGCGGGCATCCCAATCTGCAGCAATAGCAGCAGCAACATCGACAGCAACAGCAACATCTGCAGCAGCAACACTTGGCACGACAGCAACAGGTTACGAGTGCGATATTGCCGAAGATCCCATTAGCAGCAGCGACACACCAAGTGCTTAAGGAATGGTAAACGTTACCTGGTCCGTCAGTTCAGGTTGAGCGCTCGAGTTGGTCGGTTGTTAGACGCGCGTTGTCTTCAAAGAGTTCAAAAATAAAGGGGCTTCCAGTGAAATCAGCGGCTTAAGCGATACGTTTCGTGTGATATTCATCGTTTCGTGAAGTGTAGTGAAAAGCCAATTCGAATCGGACAAGTCCCAGACAGAAGACACGATTTACGAGACGTTCGAGACAGAACACCTCAAGTGCCCAAGTACAGCCAATAACCCAACAATCAACCATCCAACCAGCCAACACACGCAGCAACAAAATGGAATACCGGTGCTTAAGTAGAAGTTCTGTCAAAGTAAGTGACCCCAATAAGCACAAAAAATAAAGACACTAAAGCCGTAGCGCCCACAAGGAGAGGCAGCTGCAAGATCTCTTACACTTCTCTTCGCTTTACACATCTTTTAGTTTTTTTTTTATATATATATATATTTTGCCTGAACTTGGCATTGTTCTCGTCTTCCGTCGTCTTCCTTTTGGAAACCAGTATGGCATAAAGAACACATATAATATGGCTATATGTGCGGCCATAGGTGCACACATGCAGCCCACAGCCAGGCAACACCTTCGGTGGTCCACTAAGTGCCTGGTGTGGAATAATGGCATGGGTTGGGTTCCGATGGGCTGACTTTGGATGTGATAGGACGGCTTGGGAATTCTCCAACTGGGCTCTGGCGTTTCGCCCACTTCGACCCATTTCTTTTCGGCCCGATCGGCCGATGGCATGAATTAGCACCTTTCTTGGACTTTCTTTTTGCCCGGTCTTGACGAATTTTTAATGAATTTGCCTTAGCCAAATAACTTTTACTAGGCTATGCGCTCTACCCCGCAAATGCGTATGTATACTACATATGTTACATAGGTAGTCGACTCACGTCTAGTCCCTGGCACTCAAATTGGCAAAAGAAGTGTTGTGTGTGGGTTAGAGAGCGGTCGCGCTTATGGTTACAAATGATATATGGCTCTGTCAGGAGGTCGAGGAATGCGGCAGGAGATCTGACCCTGCGATTGGGCACAGTGTATCCGGTATGCAGCTGCATTCCTGTGGGAATTACTTGTCTGTTTTCACAAACGGAGGTTTTGTAAGCCCTTAAATAGGAGGCTAAGAACCCTTAGGTACCAACAAAAATACCTCTCTGAACTTGACCGACTTCGGACTCATGAAAATGTTAATCAAGCGGATAGCGAGAAAGCAAAAACACGCCCACAAACAATTTGCTTAGTCAACGATTTCCCTTGAATGGAGTTTTGGATTTCTTTCGGCAATTCGATTCGTGCTTAACCCATAATCAATACGGAAACAAATATGATCAGTGTGACTTTAAATACTATATATACTATAAGTTATGAGGAATGATTAAAGGAAAGTGTCATGTTATTTTTCGGATTTGTGTATTTCTTTAATCAATAAACACATTTTGCAATTATAGTTCATTCTGTAAATTAACTCTTTCAACAATCACTGTTCACGAAGTTAATTTTAAAAGGAAAAATATGGAAAGAACCGGATTTTTGTGTCACTGTAGCGATGATTCAAAGCGGATTCCTTAAGCGTCGCCTAAATGCTTGAGTGCCGAGCGTGCCGTGGGCAAAAGCGAAATAAAAATTTTATAAAAAGTAGGCTAAATATATTCATACTTTGATTTTTATGGGTTGCGGCCGTCTGTCTCTGGGTCTAACCTACAGGTAGAATATTCTCATTCGAGCGTCTCGTGTTCTGGTTATATGGCTTTTGGTCTGACTGGCGAACCTTAGGTGCCTATAACTATTTGCAAAGCGGAGTTATAAACTGTTAGCCACAACGGCGTTATGGGTTAACTATTTTCAACATCTTTGTTCTGATTGTCAGATTGGCAAGTAACGTTTAAGAATATTGTCAAGCATTTGTGTTAATTGCCGGCTTTAATGTAGCGCCAAAAGGTAACAGTACTTGGATACGTAGAAAATAATGAGGCGAATTATTCAGTGAAACTTCTGCCCAGAAGATATGTATCTAGATCTATGACATTAAAACCGAGAGCGTAATGAGTAAAAGTGTTGCTTGCAGGCAGATCTCTTCTTTCAACCTCCATGGTCATTAAAATACCCCGGTTCTAGTTTTGGTCAGCTAAGCCCGACTCTTAGCCCCGTTTCCACGGATTCTTCGGATTCGATTCGGATCCCACCATCTGGACAATGGACGCAGTCCAAAAATGAAAGCGTCGCGCTGTCGTCGACCAAAACCGAATGCGGGGGAGTGAAAGGGGCGGCGATAGCTCAGGGGCGAAATAAGCCAGGTCCATTGCACCTGTCTCTCTCTAGCTTTGTGGTCTGGTCTTTTTTTCTGGTCTGGGAAAACGTGATCTGCATAGCGGCTGCTTCTTCGGGGAAAAAAACCCATTGAAAGTTTTGTCGCTTCGGGGTTATCACGGCATCGAGCTTTGTTGTCTGTCGCGGAACGAAAAAAATAATGGAATACACAACATAAAACAACGGTCTAATGCGCAACGGTGCTGAGAACCAGCAAAAACACATCCAGAGTTGCACGCAAATACTGTTCTTGGGTTGATATAATGATCGATAAATGAAACCATCAGCTTTAAAAGCTAACATTTAGTAAAATTTCATAATCGACATACAAATATTAAGCAAAATGTGGATGTAAATTGGTCTTTAAGAGAAAGTATTTATAAAATATT